GAATTCAATACTGGTAATAATGAAACGCAGTTTCTGAAATATTGATCAAATGTGCATTATTTGTCAGCGTTATTGTAAAAGATTTAAATGGAAGGAATGTATTTCTTTGTTTTTGACAATCGAGTACTTATGAATTTATGAAATTAAAGTCTTAAATTTAATTTGGTCAAAGTCAAAATTGTTAGCCCTCCTGTGAATTTTCCCAATGATTTTCTCACAGTATTTCCTATAATATGTTTTCTTCTGGAGAAAGTCTTGTTTGTTTTATTTCGGCTAGAATAAAAGCAGTTTTGAATTATTTTAAACCCATTTAAGGTCAAAATTATTAGCCCCTTAAACATTTTTTCTTTGATAGTCTACAGCAGTGGTTCTCAAAGTGGGGGTCAGGACACCCTGAGGGGTCGCGGGGCAATGAAGGGGGGTCACCTGGTGATTTCCAAAAATCTATTTATTTTTATTAAACCATAAGAATTAACATATTTTATCCATAACTATACTGAAAATAAAAATAGTCGTTTATAGTTACTATATACTATATAGTTACTATAGTAGCTTATAGTTACTAGTTCTATTGGATTGCGACCCCTGGGGAAATTACATTATATTAAAGGCAGCAACAGCGTCAGATGCATTTTGATTTTATAACATTGTGGCACATTTAAAGCACTGACACAAATTTAATTGGTGTGTCTGCGTCATTGCATGCAAGGTTTCTGTATTTATAACCACCTCAGAGGATATTGGGGGTCGCGAGTCACTGGCATTGTTATTTTGGGGGTCCCGGGCTGAAAAGTTTAGGAACCCCTGGTCTACAAAACAAACCACTGTTATACAACAACTTGCCTAATTACCCTAACCTGCCTAGTTAACCTAATTAAGCCTTGAAATGTCACTTTAAGCTGAATACTAGTATCTTGAAAAATATCTAGTAAAATATTATGTACTGTCATTATGGCAAAGAGAAATTAGTTATAAGAAATGAGTTATTAAAACTATTATGTTTAAAAATGTGTTGAAAAAATGTTCTTTAAGAAGAAATCAGGGGGAAAAAAATATACAGGAGGGCTAATAACTCTAACTTCAAAATATTATATATCTCAACACCTGTAAAGAAAGTGCTATCCATACCAACAAATGCAGGGATGCTGATGTTCTGGCCGTAGTTGACCCTCATGATGGGGGCAATGACTTCGTCAATGAAGCGCTGAGAGACGCCCAATTCTAGCAGAGACTCGGATAGAGAGCGGCGGGTCATGTTGATGAATCCCGAACCGCCCAGAGAGTGCAGCAACTCCTCCACTGAACTGAAGGCATAGCCGTGAGCCTGGTATTTATAGATTCTGAAACCAAAAATGAGTTGGCAAGAAGGAGAAAATGAGGTGGATGGTGAGACATTTTACTGAACAAATGAACATCCAACACAGCTTTTAAAGAGCCCCAATTATGGGTTTTTGAAAACGAGCTTCCATGCAGTGTGTAACACAGCTCTAAGTGAATGAAAACATCCAGCTGAGGTTTAAATCTGATGCACTCTGTTTAAACTATTGATTCTTTAGCGAAATAGTTGACTCGTAGTCGAATAAACGAATCGAGTTGGGTTCGGATCTTTTGCTTGATCACATCGACACGGTATATTACCAAATATGTACTTCCAGTTCCGGTAAAATGTGAACGTGCTTTCACTTCAGACACTAGCGGAGGCGCAGGGGATCACAGGACTGATCATGACACAAAGATGACGATCACTGACAGATGGAGATTCGGCTGCGGGAAATAAAGGGTTAAAGTTCATTCTCACAACAATACCACAGTATAGCCAACCTAGTGCTGTGTTTGTTCCTGTCATATTTCTAATTCTTGATACAATAACCTACGCTGCAACGCGGGATTCATTGGCCGTTTGATAATAAAGTTGCAGCAGAGACTATGGGACTGTCAGACTTTGACAGGGACTTTGTCAGTAACTTTTACAGTTCAAATGGACCAGTTTCTTCTTCCACCGCATCATAACCTGTAAGTGTCATTAAAATTGTTGCCTCGTTTTGTGTAGTTTGCAAAATATGCGTTTAATATTGTGTTAGGAGTTGTAATCGCACCGCACGGTTTGTAATCACATATCGATCATAGATCAGTGCTTGTACTGTATCTCTCAGGTTAAATCTGTATGGGGCTGTACATATCGCGTCCAAAACTACGCTAAAAATGACACGTGCTACTTCAGGTCACAGTTTAACTCAGAAAACATTTCTAAAGGTGCTGTTGACTTTAAATTTTCAACAGATGTTGATAACAACCAAAGAAATCCATATATGCAAAGGAAATGAAGTCACATGAATTCCTCAGGTGTGATTTTTTTTACAGACTTCAACAAAGTGTATAAATCTTGATGGTTCTGTGGGTCTCGTCTATCAAATCTGATCTTTATTTCGGATTCTCTATTGAACTCGAGTCAGGTGACTGGCTAGGCCATTCGACAGCTTGATTTTCTTTCTCTGAAAGCATTTGAGAGTTTCGTTGGCTGTGCTTTGGATCGTTGACTTGCTGAAATGTCCACCCTGGATCTTCATCTTCCTGCTAATGTAGATGTTGGACAGAAGAAGCTAATATTAATTTACACTGACGAAGGATAGAGGTTTGCTGAAGAACTACTGAGAGATTTCAGCTGCCATCTGTGCTTTCACTGCCTTTCCACACCTCCCCTTCTTTATTTGTTCGATAACCTTTTTCTGTATTATTTAATGTGATTACACAGAACTTAATTTGTAAACTAATTAATTTGTTTTCTTTGCATATATGGATTTCTGTGGTTGTTACCAACATCTGGTGAAAATTTCAAGTCAACGGCACCTTTAGAAAAATGTCGCGTCGCGGGGGCACTTTAGATCATTTAGGAAGGGAACTTTCTACCCAAGACTAAAAAGGGCACGTGCCTGCAAGTTGGAGAATATGACTAATAACAGTCATGGGGACTACAGAAACACAGTACACTGTTCAGATTGATGCGGACATTGACTTGTACCTCAAAGAGACCTCTATCTCACTCATGGCTTGTCCTCTCAAGTGGTGGAAAGACAATGCACAACGTTACCCACTGCTGTCAACCTGGGCTAAGTCATATCTCTGTCCCAGAAACCTCGGTCCCAAATGAGAGGGTTTTTTTTCTGTTGCAGGGGACATTCCCAGAGATCCCAGCTTTTACCAGATTATAGTTATATAATTTTCCTTAAAACCCATCTCTATCTCAGTGAGTGAGTGATTAAATGTTGAATGTGATGAGTTTTCAACAATGACTGTAAAAAATATGGACGATGCGACAGCCCTTTTTCCTATTGAACGCCTTGAGGGCAAAACACCTGCTTGATGGGCACAAACTGTCGCAAAAGACTGCTGAAATTGGAGCCAGACATGCGCAGAAGGACTGTCTGATGGAGCCAGAGGAGGAGCCGCGAAAATGAGCAGAGTCGAGCTTCCAATCAAACGCTTTATGTAAAATCAACTACGCCCCCCGAACTTCTCAGCATGCGTTTGCTGTCATATCAACACAAATGGATGTAATAACGTTAACAAATATGAGGGTTTTATATATTCAATCGCGCCAGCTCCGGACCGCAGCGCATAACCTACTCGCGGCGTCGCGGGCTGATTCCGCCTCGCATGCGGCAGCGCCGGCTCGCTCGGCCGCCGCATCTGGCTCGATTGACTTGGGCTGGAATCGGGTAGTGAGTCCAGGCATCCGGAGTAGGTCCAGCAGAGGTAGTCAGTCTGAGCTCTAAGGGATAAGTCTCCGGCAGGCAAGAATCTAGCCGGAACTGTGTTTTGCTATCTGGGTGGCTAGGCGTGTATCAGCAAACTAATAAAGCCCGAAAAAAGCCCTGAACTTAGCGAATAAACAGTGTTCCACCAGGATCATGTATGTCAGAAACTGTAGTTTACTGCTGAACTCATTTTGTCATGGTAAAATAACACAGAAATCGAATACTAACATTTCAGTATCCTGCCGAAGCTCTGACGCGCTGCTTTGAGAAACTGTCAATCACAGCTGTCAATCACGATGACACGCCCAGCATTAAATTACTGCTAAAAACAAACTGTTTACAAAAATGAAGATCTGCACCTATTTCAGCACAATAACCAGTGCCTTAATCGACCAGAACCATCTTTCGGGACATTTTATTGCAAGTGTAATAATTTGGGCTCAAGTCTCCTTCATTAACACGGAGGAGGCGGGCTTTATGACTTGTACTGCAGCCAGCCCCCAGGGGGCGATCTAACGGCCGAGACCTTCACTCAAACGCAGGCTTGCGGCACACTTGGTTTTCAACAATACTAAATTGAAACTTTATTTTTTTACATGGTTTAATAATATAATTTTGTATTAAAATTGAAAAATTGAAGTTCCTGTTTCAAAGCTTACAGATAGATGGCTAATTTGTATGTCATTGACACTTTTGGCACTTTTTTTGGGGTATTTTCATTAGTTTTGTTTTTCCTGTAAATGATTCAATAAATACCGTACCGTGACATTCATACCGAGGTATTACCGTACCGTGAAATTCTGATACCGTTACATCCCTATTATATATTATAAATTTTGGTTAAATATCTTTTTTAATCATCGCCCTGCCCTAATATGAAGGTATTTGAAAAATAAGTAAAGGACAGAATTTACATTTAGCATTAAACTAACCATTTAAAGCTGCAGATCAGGAACACTCTCAACTGAAACATCACAGACGCTTCAGTTTCTGCACAAACCTGTGAAAACTAGAGCTGTTTTGAACTTTATAAAGCCTTTCCCTCACCTCATAAACTTCTCCATGATCTCCTCCACCCACATCTGCAGACGGATGAAGCTTATGCCATAGCGCCACCACAAGCGAAACAGATCCAGCAGGTACCAGTCTGTCTCCTCTAGAATGAACTCTTCTCCGTTGAACACTGCTGTTTTCCCAGCCACACTCTTACGATACTTCAGCCCTGTGGATGGTAACATAAAACACACTGAATAGCATTGAAAAGAACAGAAATTATTTAAAACCAACCCCCAAATGACAAAGCATACCCTTTTTATGCTAAACTTTCAATGTACACTGGATTTGATAATGTACGCAACATCAGGGACTCAACACATGCACACTAGAGAGATTTATTATAGTCTAATGTCTGCACCTTTTCTCTTCAGTTATCCACAGTTTTCCTACATCCCAGGATGCTTTGTTTGAATTATGCGAATGACTTCTGTGAAAATGTACACACACTGTGAAATGTTTTTAACCCTGCTGGCGTTTTAACCCCTTGTGTTGGGGTCAGGGTGACCCCAAAGATAAGAAGTGTAATTATAAAAAACTAAATATTTCTAATAATACAAATTATATCATTATAATAATATAATTATATCAATATTTTTGTTTACTGCTCTATACATTTATGCTATGATTTGGGAGATGTTAATTACTATGTTCATTTAGGGTTCTATTATTGACTATTGACTTCTTTTTTTTTTTTTTTACACACGTTCAACCAAATCAATGCCAGATTTTTGTGTGTGTGTATAGGTAGATAATGTTGAAAAAGTCACAAAATCTTACGCTGCTGAGATGAAGAAAACCGTGTTTTTGGGAAAGAAATGTCTTTCATGGCCCGTTTCCACTGAGTGGTACGGTACGGTACGGTTTGGTATGGTTTTATGGCCGTTTCCACTATCAAAAGGCGTACCGAACCAAACCGTACCGGACAAACTGCAGAAAGGGTCCCAAAAGGTGGAGCTACACGCGCAGCTGAACGCTATTGGTTTACAGAGATACGTCTTTCGTAGACGCAACAAGCCAGAATGTAAACAAAGGACTCTTCATTTAAACTGTTACACAGATTTTACCCAGCCAAGACATTTTTGAAAAGATTTAAATCAGATATAGATACATGCTGCTCGTTCTGTAATATACCCAATGAAACTGCTGACCATATTTTTTGGAGTTGCCCTCATACACAATGCTTTTGGATTGAACTTTCTTTAGATATTCATCGTAAAATATTACCAGGATTCTTGTTATCTTTTAAGGATATCCTGCTGGGTTTTTTTAATGCTCCTGATGATAAAAGTAAGGAATATTTCATTATTAATCTCCTTTTAATCCTTGCTAAATTCCATATACACCGCTGTAAATTCTCTCAGCGTATACCTTGTTTTATTGTTTTTGAAAAGGAAATTCAACAGTACATTAGAACTATTGCTTCCTCTAAAAATCTTATAAGCCATTAGAACGGTTAACTTATTTTCCTTTTTTAATTTTCTTAACACATAAGGTAATATTATTTGTTTTTCTTTTTATTCTTGTTATCTTTTCTCTTTTATGTGCTTACTTGTTTATTTGCTCCTCTGTAAAACTCATGTACACTCTTGCATTTCTATGATGTTATAGTTACCCTGACATTAATAAAAAAAAAAATGTAAATAAAGGACCCGCCATGTTTGAAATACACAGCGAGAGATTACAGCGGAATTATTAATACATATGCAGCCATGGTCGATCCTGCAAACAAACCCTGTCGTCGTCATGATAAACAGCCACAAAGCCATGGAGAAGAGCAGATTTACCCTGTGCCGCGTAGTTTTTAACGAGCCAGTCTGAAGCCTGAGTGGTTTCACTTTCTTTCTTGCGCTCGCCGCGCGTCTCTATCTGAAATAACAAACTTCTTGAGCTGATAATAATAACATGCACTTGATTATTGACAAGCGTTTGGAAACCCGATCCTGTGAGAAGCTGACAAACGCAAGAGTGACACATTCAGAAAGAAAAGGATAAAAAGGCAGGAAAAAGGCGAAGCCAAGGAGCACGCTATTTCTTTAGCAAACGTGAACAAACTGCCTTGTTTTAATCTTTATTATCACCTTTTGGACTAATATGAACTGGGAATGATGGAATGACTCTCTAACAGAGGCTTCATGTGCTGCTGAAGATTACAGACACAGATGAGAGGTTTGCTGTGACTGTAGGCTATTACTTTGTGTTGTTTTGAACCTAATTAACGACGAAATGTCTGTTTTGTGTAGTTCTTCTGTATTTGGTAACATATCGGAGACTGTAAGGGTCTGTATGTGTTCATATGTGAATGACCGGTGCAGCTTTATTGTAGACATTTTCTCAAGCAAAAATGATGTAGACTGAAACTTTGTCATACACCACGCCCACCAAAAGGGTACCCTTGGTAGTGGAAACGCAAGCCTGATAAAGGTGACCCGTACCGACCCGAACCGTACCGTACTGTACCAGTCAGTGGAAACGAGCCATCAGGGTCATCCTGACCCCAAACAGGGTGTAAAGGTTACAGATTAGGATACAATGAGGTAGTGATAGCTATATTCAAAGCAGTGCTTTATAGGGGTGTAACAGATCACGGTTGATATGTGATTTGTACAGATCACAACCCACGGTTCAAAACACATGTGACCTACAGATTAATACATTTTTTACTTGTGGATTAATCCTAAACTAGTAACGCTTGCAGAGTGATCACCTCTCTCATCGTTCAAATCTCATGTATGAAAGCATTTAGGCTTTAGTGTAAAATATAATGATAACAGAAGAAGTTATGATGGGTTATTCAGGATGTGGTGGGTTTCTTAGGTTATTAAAGGTGTTTTTTTGTCACTACTTGTTTAGCCAATATTAATGCAGTCCGTGTAAGCTGCACGATTAATGATTGAAAGATCGGGATCTCAGCACCCACGCAACATCAATTATAAATGATGCTGATTTGCATTTGTTTATTAATCCTTCGAATCGCTGCATTCAAATCTGTGTTTACATGTCAGATCCGTTACCCTGATCTGTTCCAGGACCTCGCAATTCACAAATTAAGCTCTGACGAGAAGCAGCAACCTTTTTTTTTGTATTGTAATGCAATTCCTAGAGAAATGGAATATTAAATGAGTAAAAAGTGGGTGTGGTTTGTTTTTTCTACTGCTACTACTGGATGTAGTCAAGTAAGCATTTCATTCAGGAAGATCGGGAAATGGATTTCAGGAGAGTTTTTACAACCTAACAGACTCCTCCTCACCATTTCTGTTTGTTGTCATAGCGCTGCCAAAACTGACAGCTGAAGGGGTGTGGTTAAGTAAGTTAGCCACGCCCAATACCTTAGACAGACCTAATCTGAGAATTTAACTCTACACAAACATGAAGTGCATTGTCAGATTTCAATTTTAGATTACAAGAGCAAACGATTAAGTCTTTTTAATGACATGCACGGATGATTTGTTTACCGCAAAACTAGCAATGTGCGCTAACAAAATCAATACGGTTAGTTTTGATTTGATGTGTACTATAACCCTGGTTTTGACCAGCCTGGTTTAAGCTGGATATAGCTGGTTTTGGCTGGACTCCCAGCTTGGCTAGGCTGGTCAAGCTGGTTTTAGCTGGTCATCTCCCAGCCTGACCAGCTAAAACCAGGATGGAAATGGCTGGAAACCAGCCTGGAAGTGGCCAAAACCCTTCTAAAACCAGCCTAGTTGACCAGCTAAAACCAGCCAACCAGCCTAGGCTGGTTTAAGCTGGGTTTTTCAGCAGGGAAGTCTATTTATGAGAAGAATTACACGTAATTTTAACAATCCCAAGCATCATATCACCCCTAAATGTCAGACTTACACGTTAAACGTTATGAATGCAACTGACCCAACTGCTGGACAAAGTCTTGCATGTGCAGGTTGAGGGAATGGATGATGGATCCACCGGACTCGTAGTCTTGGTGGTTCACAGTGACAGTAGCCAGACGACCACCGACTGACCCCTTTTCAAACACATCAATTCTCACTTCTGGCCCGAAATGTTGCCTAAGGAAATGCGCTGTAGCGGTTCCTCCAATTCCTGCTCCAACAACAGCTGCAAACACGCCAAGAAGCACTATCAGACTGCATTGTATGGCCTTTTTTCATACATTTATACGAAACATACCATAAACATCAAGCTTACCTATTTTAGAAGGCGGTGCACCGTCAAATTTGGCAAAATCTGTATCCGCCAATACATGCACTAAATAAAAAACTAACAATAAACACCGACGCATGTTCGCTAGAACAGTCGACTCCATTCAATCAACATAGAATGTACCGTTGCGTTAATTTATGCACGCGTCTTGACGCATTTCTTCTAGACTTGTGCCAGTAGGATTAACAAAAAAGAAGCAAACAATTAGCAAAATAACGGAATATTTTAATCAATTTCGCTTCCGCAGAACAGTAAAACCTACGCGCGTTCATATTTACATGCTATCCTGCAACAATAGCGCATGATGTTGCACGCGCACGCTTCTGACCAATCAGCGAAAGAGAGATTCTCTTCTGACCAATAAGAGCGTACAAAAGCTCTCAACAGACCAATTGGAATAAAGGAAACCTTTTTTCTTCCGGGATGTATTACACGTTGAAGACGGAATGGTGCTTTTTGAGAGGATATTATTTAAAGTTACAAGTTAATAGAAGCGATTTAGACCGTCCCATCCTGTTAGTAACGACATATAAACAGTATGGCCTTCCAAAGACATTGTATAATCATCCTCAGGTTGAAAGCTCTGCTGACAAGGTAAAAAAGAGCGAACCGGCGTTTGTCTCATTTCCCAGGAGATGACTTGTCAGGTAACAACAGGGACTAATACAGGGGCGCAAAAAGGGGGTATGCAGTATATGCGGCGCATAGGGGCGCCACACATGGGGGGCGCTATTGTGCCAAATCTATTTTTGAAATTATCTATTTTAAAAGTTTCAAATAATATATATATTTTTTGTTAAAAATGTTTATTTAGCATTTTATACGCGTATAATATTGTATTTTATTAAATAAAGAAATCATTCCACCCCTCCCCCCATTTTTTATACCATATACATGTTTCTATGAATTTATTATGTGTCATGTTAGTTCATCAGGCCTTTTGGTAACTTCTTTGCTCAAAACTATTTTACTTTTAGCTACAAACAAAGTTATAACATTTCAATTAAATAGAACATTTCACACAGTTTGTTTCTGTTTTTTTTACACTAAACATTTGACAGTCTTTTTTATTTCACTTTTTGCAGTTTCAGTCAATTGTTCAAAATGTTCTTTTGCCCTTTAGGACTCCCATGTCTATCATTTTGTTTTGACAAATGTAGTACAAAAAGTCCAAAAGCAAGCCTAGTCAAGGTGCTATAATCATTTCGAGAGGGAAAATTAAACTGAGAAAAACATTTTCTGGTAGTATGAGATGCATTTCTTTGCGACGTAACATGCTTAATGTAATTATACCTTTTACTACTTCATACTATTTCAGTTGTGTTCAACTGTGAAACTGTATTTTTTGAAGCATATTGATATCTTTATGAAAAAATATATTTTATTTATTGATGGAAATATTTTCCACATTTTGTCACTTGCCTGTTATAAAATATAGTTGGACTGAAGGGGGGCGCGCAAAAGTTGAAGCCGCATACCCATCAGTAAATGTGCAGTTGCGCCCCTGGACTAATATTGTTTGTTATTCAAATATTGGCCAAACAAATGTTATGCACTTAGCATATCCACAATATGATTAATATTTTAATAGTAGTAAGTTGTAGGACAAACACAAGATGCCCCATTTTGGTAAACAAATTAAATTATCATTAAGCAAAACAACATGTTAACATTTCACAATATGTAAAAATGAAAGAACATAGACTAACGTACTTATTCTGACCTGTCCTTATTATACCCTAAGTAAGTTACCAAATCTAAGTTTATTTTATTTTATTGCAACAGCAAGAATACAAAAATATGCAGAAAAGGTATACATACTATAACAACAACAATAGACAACAAAACGAGGAACAAGATTATGCTAGGGGTAATCTAAGTTACAAAAATCACTTTAAATCTATCTTAAAGCAAGGTCACAGTAATGTATAAAAGGTCAAATAAATAAAGTATTATAGAAAAGAGACAATACTGTAAGATTCACATCGTGTTATTTGATCTTAAATTGAGTTGGTTAATGTGTCAAATTAGTCAGAATCAAATTAGTCAGCTCATTCAAACATATGGGGGAAAATTTAAATAAATAAAGAAATTTTAAATGAAATTATGATCACATAAATTGAATAAAATGACAATTTAAATAAATTTTTTTAAAACACATTCATTCATTTTCTTTTAGGCTTAGTCTCTTTATTAATCAGGGGTCGCCACAGCAGAATGAACCGCCAACTTATCAAGCATATGTTTTACACAGCGGATGCCCTTCCACCTGCAATCCATCACTGGGAAACACCCATACACTCTAACACATACACTACGGACAATTTAGCTTACCCAATTCACCTATAGTACATATGTTTCGACTTTGGGGGAAACTGGAGCACCCGGAGGAAACCCACGCAAACACGGGAAGAACATGCAAACTCCACACAGAAATGCCAACTGACCCAGCTGAGGCTTGAACCAGCGACCTTCATGCTGTGAGGCAACAGCACTACCCACTGCGCACCTCGCCGTTTGTGAAACATATTTCATTATACAGTTTTTATATGAATTATAAAATTTATTTTTTTATATTTTTATTGATATGTAACATTGTGCTCAAAGTAAATAAGAGTATCATGTCTGATCATGCCATTAACAGGAGTGTGAGCTGTTAGCTATTTATGGGCCAGATAGAAATTCCCTTGAAGCCACCTGATTTGTTTAGAGGCTGTTTTTTTTTATATGCTAATTTCCCAAACAACAATGAAACTCAAGATGAACAGGGATTTTCATCGAAAATCACAACACAACCAGTTTCAGGAAGAAAACACACACGTCCAGTAAACAGCTCTTTCACAATAGAGTTAATAGAGTTACTTAATTCTATATATATTTTTAGTCCAGAGAATAAAAAAAAACATTAAATAATAATAAAATTTATTAGAATATATATATATATTTAATTATTAGACCCCCTGATTATTTTTCCCCAATTTCTGTTTAAAGAAGAGAATATTTTTTCAACGCATTTCTCTATCTCTAATAACTGATTTACTTTATCTTTGTCATGATGACAGTAAATAATATTTGACTAGATATTTTTTCCAAGACACTTCAATACAGCTTAAAGTGACATTTAAAGGCTTAACTAGGTTAATTAGGTTAACTAGGCAGGTTAGGGTAATTAGGCAAGGTATTGTATAACGATGGCTTGTTCTGTAGACTATTGGAAAAAAATATAGCAGAAAGGGGCTAATAATGTTGACCTTAAAATAGTGTTTAAAAAATGTAAAACTGCTTTTATTCTAGCCAAAATAAAACAAATAAAGTCTTTCTCCAGAAGAAAATATATTATAAGACATACTGTGATCATTTCCTTGCTCTGTTAAACATCATTTGGGAAATATTTATATATTCATATATATATTTGGGGTCAGAATTATTTTTAAATGTTTAAAAATCAGCTTCTCTTGCTTGCCAAGGCTGCAATTATTGTATCAAAAATACAGTAAAAAATTGTGAAATGTTATTGCACTATAAAATAACTGTTCAAAAATTATTATTATTATTATAAATGGTAATAGTAATAAAAGCAATAATGACTGGAGTATTAATTTAATTTGAAACTACATACAATAAGAAAGTAGTTAGTTAAAATGTTAATAAATATTAATGAACTAGCTGCCTTGATGAACAGAATTTTATTTAAAAAATAAAAACATGAACAGAAAAACTGACACCAAACATTTGATCGGTAGTGTATAATAATAATAATAATAATAATAATAATTAATATAATAACAATAATAATACAAATTACATCAGCATTAATTAAGTGTAAAAATTGTTAAATATTGATTTATTAAATATGTATTTATTATTGCATGTAGTTTCAAATTAAATGAATACTTTAGTCATTATTGCTTTTATTACTATTACCATTTATAATAATAATAATAATAACAATAACAATGAATATTAGTAATTTCGGAAGGATCATGTGACTGAAGACTGGACCAATGAATCTGGATAATCATCATTAAAATCAACTGGAATAAATTATTAAATTAAATTATAAACTACTTTTAAACAGTTTTTTTTTTTTATAATGCAATAACATTTCACAATTTTACAATATATACCGTAATTTTGATGAAATAAATGCAGCTTCGGTGAGCAGGAGAAGCTTATTTAAAAAATAAATAAATAAAAAATCCAACGGACCCCAAACTTTTTACCGGTTATGTGTATATATATATTAAAATAGTATTATATTTTATTATTATTATAACAATTAAATTATTACATTATAGGAGGCCAGTTTACACCTAAATTACGAGTTAAACTGTATTGAATTGAAATGTTTATGATTGTTAACACTAATAAAATGTTGCTTTTGGTTGTTTCAAATAACATTGTGCAGAAATATGGGTAAAAAGTGCTGTTCATACCTTTTTTACAGTAAATTTTTGTCTTGTTTCTTATCCAAATATCAAAAAATTCTTAAATCACAAAGCATTTTCTTGACAAGTAAAAGAATTGCTTTGTTTTCAGAAATAATACATCAAAATAAAGCAAGTTTTTTCCTTAAAACGAGCAATATAATCTGCCAATGATATGCAAATTTAACTTATTTCAAACCGAAACCAAGATTATTTAGCCTATTTTAAGAAAATACTCACTTTTGACACACAAGTAACCTCAATTTTAACATATTATTTCTGAAATAAAGACAATATCTTTTGCTTCTCTAGAAAATGCTTCTTGATTGAAGAATTGTTTGATATTTTGACTTTACAAGACAAATTCAAATGAAGAAAACCTTTTGCTCTGCATTTATTTAAAACTGAAACAACAGAGGTGAGCTTATTAAAAGGTGTCATGATAAATATGATCACAGTCTTGTTGACAAAATGGTAAAACCTATTGTAGAAAATGTATATAAATTAAGAAAGACACTTAATTAGTATTTTATGGCTGTGCTGTGATCCTTAAAAATAGCTGGACTAGCTTTTATAGTTTGATGCTTGAAAACCCCATCTTCGTATAATAAACTTTAGTAATTGCGTTTGCTTTAACACGTTTGCACTTTCAAAGGCCAGAGTTTATTTATATGCCACTTTCTCGTCATGAGTGGCCTATGACTGCAGGTCATCTGTGATCTGACTCACTTCCTCTGTCATGTGAGGAGAGAGAGAGAAAACTCGTGTGGTGCAAGATGGGCCGTTTATAAGTCATGATGTCAATAATTCTAATGAAAAGTCAGTATTTACAACATTTGTAGGTTGATTTTAACATGGTAAAGAAGCACATGAAACCCACCAAGCAACTCTGTGTTTAAAAGATGTATAGTA